TAGCACAGAGGAGAAAAAAACAACCAAGACTAGAGGGGATGCTAATTTTACTATACCATGCTGTACATGTTCCCCTGAAGAATGGGCCACAGCTACCGACTACTATCTTTTGTTCATGTTTGTCTAGCTTGGGAGATCCCAAACTCAGCCTGCCACCTCCACTGTGGCAGCTGCAGTCACTGCCAGCTCGTCAGAGCACACATTCAGGTGTTTGAGCAGCACTTGGGGCCTTTGCTACACAGCTCATCTCCCACTAGAGGCCAATGGGCAGAGTTCAGTAAGAAACCAAAACAGCTGTCAGTGGGCTTGTTGTTTAGGGATGCCATAGCAGGCATCAAGCCCACCTTCCTCAACCCCAAGGTTCCCTTTCTCCCCAGAAAAGGGCCTAGGAACTGACAAAAGCACATGTTCCAATGATCTCCAACCGTCCAGCAGCAGTTTCTGTTCTTACCAGGCTCCAAAGCAGGTGAACCTCTTTCCTCGAGGTCTCTTGGATATGTCTGCAGACTTTCACCGACTCCGGAGGTCAGCAGCCTGCTCTGTTTCTCTGCTGGACCCGTGTCAAGCGTATCTCCAGGGCGCTTTCGCTGAGAGAGAACAAAGCCTTAGCATTTGCTGTGGCACGAACATGAACATGGCACTTGCTTTTTGCCACACCAATGACAGCACACAAGGATACACAACACACTCCTGCAAAGGCTGCAATATGCATCCAATGGTGCTATGGGCCATTCCCACCTAAGTGCATCTCCTCAGAAAAAAGACATCACCCCTGATCTCTGACAAGCTGCCTTGCCAAGCAAGAGCCTGTCCCAATGGCTTGCAAATGAGGAGACCAGTTCCCAATTCTAGGAGGCTGCAGCTCACACTGTAAGCATTTCTGAACTATTACTGTGAACACCCATAGAGATTCAAAACTTTCAGTATTCCAGAACATCGTGTTCTGTAAAGTTTTCAGAGGTTTCCATTTTTGTGCTTTTGCTAGAAACTCTTGAAATACTTCCCAGAAGTACCCCATAAAATGTTTCAAGATCAGCATTGACTATAAATGTACTTACTGAGCTCATGGTGTTTGGTGTTCTAAAAGCACTGGACAAGTGAGTGGGACAAACACCTAAAAAGGAATGTCAGGGAGGTGATCAATCCCATAGGTTCCTTTGCGTAGCCCACTGCAGATCTATTGGAGTAACAGAAATCTGCTCTTCCAAATTTATCAGAAAAGGACAGGGGAGATTATCGATTTGGAATGCCAATTTTCTTGAATACCCCCATGTCCCAAGACTCCCATTCCCAGGTCTTCAGTTCCTGCTCAAAGCTGGTGGGGAAGTCCGTGACTCTGGCACTTGAGCCCACATGCAGCCCATGCTGCAGCCCAGACCAGCCCCTCAGCATGACAATCAGCTTTTCAAGAGTTGTCTGCACTCACCTGTACAATCAGTCCAAAGTTTGGATCGCAAATATAAACAAACGCCTCTGTATTCCCAGCTGGGATGGAGAAGACGGACACTCTGCGTCTGCTGCGCTGCAGAGAGTCCATCAACTGGCTCAACAGACCCCGTGTCAACAGAACCTTGGAGTGCCCCTGGCAACCGGTGCCAACATTCCATGCCCAGGTAACGGGGCTGCGCTTTGCTCACCCATGCAGTTCCAGAAGGCCATGGAGGCACCACAGCCCTGGCCTGGTTCTGCTGCCACCCACTCCATCAGGGTGCTCAGGGCCCTGTCCTGCCTGGCCAGGAACCTTTCAGGGACAGGGCATCCACAGCTTCTCTGAGGTGTCTGTTGCACTGGCTCAGCACCCTCCTAGCTCTTGCAAACATCTGATCCCAACCTTCCCCTTCCCCCATGGCTGTCTGCCCCCTCTGGACACTGGAAGGCCCACAGTGAGGCCTCCCCAGCCCCTGCTCCTCTCCCGGCTGCACAGCCCCGGCTCTCCCAGCCTGGCTGCACGGGACAGCTGCCCCAGGCCTCCACACATCCCCAGGGCCGCCTCCAGCCCTGCTCCACAGGCACATCCCGCTCCTGCTGGGCCCAGCTGGACACAGCTCCGCACGCGCGGCCTCACGGGCACAGCTGCACCTCCCGCTGCCTAAGAACCCCCAGCAAACCACACTTCCCTAAAGCAAAAAGAAATTTAAACCCTTCCTTAACCCTCCTCCTCCAGGTTTTTTGGTCTCTTGCTGTTTTAACTCTTATGGCACTGCTTTAACTTGAACTCGGGTAGATAGCAATTAAAACAGAATCCAAGTTTGTTGGAGTTCTTTTTTTTCAGACCGTTGAAGCTATCTAACCATTCAGATCCTTATTTCAAGTCTCTGAAATCCTGACATTGTCAGGTGTTTAACTATTCCTCTACTAGAATTTCCCAACAGGGCCGAGGAGGTCTGCTCTGCTCCTAGGGACAGCACCTCCCTCCTGAGGCCCTGCTCTGCTCTCCAAGGTGCCACAGCAAAAAAAGCAGAATTAATAATCAGTTTTCCTTCTAGCCACTCTGGCACAAGACCTGTGTTCAGGGGGATGGGCTGGGGCTCCTGAGAGCACCAGGGAACCCATCTGAGCCCTGCCAGATGCAGGAATGCTCCTCAGCCCCTGTGGAGAGCACAAGGATATGTTCAGCTTGTGCTCTACATGAGGAGCCTCATTTCTTACAAAAATTTCTCACTTACTACAATTCATCCTTTTGGATAATTAGCTATCAAGTGGTGAAGAAGGGGTGGGGATGACTCTTCCATTTTTTGAAAAAACTCTAGAGGAGATTCCGTGCTTTATATAAAAATGCTAAGATGCTAAAGCAATTCCAAATATACATTTAATACATGAATAATTAAGCTCCTTGTATGGGTCCCAAAGCACTGAATACAAGAAATGGACAGTGCAAATATGCTGTCTCTCTGTTCTGGGCTTCTGAAGCTGAAAAATCCCCAATTCTTCTATGCCTACAGATCAATGATGGAATGAGCTGAAAATGTGCTTTTCCTTCTGCTGACAACTATGCACCAAGATCAAAACCGATTTTTAAAACACCAAAATTTTAAAAGAAAATTGCCTCAGCTGATGCTGTTGAGCCAAGCCAAGCCAACATTGGTTTAAACTTCTTATAAAATCTGCCATGAACTGGAATGCTGGGGTAACCTACTGCGCATGAATGATTCTCTTGGGTAATACATACAATTATGGCCTATCTTCATCTCATTTCACCTTTAAGTTCAGTAGCATTAGACACTCTTTTAGTAAATAAATTATTAGATATTACGAAATGAAAGCTGAAGCTGCTGCAAATCTAGATAATAATAAGAATCACCCATTCATCATATTTTACATCTGCAGGCATATATACACATATAAAACTATATATGTATGGTCATATATATAAATGTATGCAAAATTAAATATGCTAAATATTATCAGTTTACTCAATTGCCTTCAATTTTTAGGAGATCATTGAACAGATAGACTTTATTGATTTTTAGTAATATTCTATGTCTCTCTACAAAATTTAGATATTGGAATGCATATGCATTACTTGTGTCTTACTTGAAAAGTGCAAAGACCAACCCTTAGTGTTTAATTATTAAAGTTTATGGGTAATGTCTAGAATTTTGTATTGAAACTTATTTCCATGAAGTTTTATTGCTACCTTTTACCAAAACAGTTTTCTAATTAAAATAAGGACTCTTGGTCATAAACAAATGATTTAACCAAAATCAATGCTGAAGTAAAAATCCAAAATGTCAGTCGAGCTCTACTTTAATCTAGCTTTAACCACACAGTTCTTAAAGCTGGAGCAACGTTTCTGTCATTAGTATTGAAAAATAAGTGTTGACACCAAATCTATTATGTAAATACAAAATAAACTCTGTGACTCTTCAGTCCTTCCAAGTATACAGCTGCACTGGACCATTTTAGGTAGTTACAGTTACCCTGCAGGAAGAAATATGCCAAAAAATAAGGAAGAGCATGCCTTTGGCAAAGTGTTTTCTTTGTATTAATTGCATTCTAAGAAAACAAGCTTATAAAAGAAAGTCAGTAGTGTTTTAAAAAAAAAAACCAAACCAACTAAATTCTAAACTGAAAATAAAGTTTGTTTGAAAAAAATGGAAGAGATTTTATCCTTTACTTAGTTTGATGGAAAATTAAAGCAAACAATTATTTCATTTTTGCTGTCTGGTGGGACAGTGATCATTATGAAGCAGGTTTACTTTAAAATCCTGACAGTTAGCATTTGTCTACTTGCCATGTGTATTAACACTCTCCAGTAGAGGCTTCAGTCAAGTGGAAAGAAATTGTGAAGTCCTTGTTCTGTTTCAATCTGATATTTGCAGAAAGCCTTGTGGAATTTCACTGTTCCAGCACTGTCATGTTTTCTCGAGTTCTGTTAAGATTGGTCTGTGGCTTGAAAGTTATTTTTGTTTCAAATAATATTATATATTTTATATTTAAATATTCTTACATGATCAAGTAAAAAAATCTATCAACATCTTATAGATTCTGAAGTCAGCCTGTTACAAAAATTCCTGCTCTGATTTTATATTAAGTGCATTTTCAAAATTGACCACATCAATTCTTCTTTTGTTTCTTTGTTTTGTAGGAAAAGATGGCTCTCTTTCACTTTAAGTCCCACATCCAAGCCAACAAAATACACTGTGGTGTAGCCTAATATGCCAAATGTAGCCCTTTGTGGCACATGCACTACATTAATTTCTTCAATCTATGCATCTCTAAATGAAGATGCCTTACAAACTACCACAGAGGACAAAAATGTTTGATTCTTATGCAGGTTGGAAACAGCTTCAAAAATCATGACTGGTCCCCCTCAGGTCACATGGCACCCAGCCTCCAAGTTTGGAAGGAAGGACTTGATGATGTCCACATGAGTCCCAGTGCCAGACCTCAAGTGGTCTCAGTTTAGCGGTGCCATTCGACCAGCGAGGTCCTCCCGGTACCTGAAAGACACTCAAGTCCAAAACTGCTTTTAGTCAAGAGGGTGGTTCAGTGGTCTAAAGGGCCCAGCACTCCTGGAAAAGCATCCCAATGCATAAGTGTGTGCCTCTGCTTTGGAGCAGATGATGTTTGGTAATTCTCTCCTGCTGTAAAAATTTTTTGATTGTTTGATCTTGGTATTTGCCTTGACTTTGAGAGACTCAATGCTTTGCCCTGTCATGCATTACACTGCTAACACTGGGTGTTCTAACACATTATATGTGTGCTCCTAGGATGTTGTGGATCTTTCTTACATCTGAATCCATGAGATAGAAATATAGAATCACAGAACAAATATCCTGAGTTGGAAGCGACCCACAAGGATTCTCACAGTCCAGGTCCTGACCCTGCACAAGACATCCACAAGAATCACCTGAGAGTGCCTGAGAGCATTGTCCAACACCTCTTGAGTTCTGGCTGGCTGGTGCTGTGACCACTTCCCTGGGGAAGGACAGCTGATTTGGAAATATTTGAATCCACTGAAGAATTCAGCATTGTCATTGTCCTGCATAGGCAGTCTGCTATCCACATTACTTTATAGGCTTAAATCATGTGATTGTAATACTTTCATTTTCAAGGTCTGAAAGTTCCTTTTTCTTAAAACATGTATTTTCATAATTGTTCATTTTCTTTGCATTTCCTTTGGAAATTCTTTAATATTTTGAATGGACACTAATAAGTTTTTAACTGGATCCCGAAGATTAAAGCTAAATAATTTCACGGTCTCCAATTTTCTGACTTAAAAAAAAATATAATTAACTTTCTTTTTCTTTATTCATCTAAAACTTCTTTATAGGCTGTAGTGTTCAGTGTCCCTAATTACTAAAACTTTTAAAATTTTTTGAAAACTAGGTAAGAAGTTTAAAAAAACCCAAACCTATAGCTAGAACAAGATGACTGCTAAAAACTATTTTATAAAGTAACAACTTCAAATATTATGAAATAATATCTAAAAGAATGAAGATTATTTTTGATGTTATGTTATCAATTCAATATAAAGTTGAACTACACAAATTCTCACATCAGTAATTTGCAAATTAGCATTTTGTTCAAAGGAACGTCTTTTTCTCTGAAAGGATTGTTTTACAGAGCAAGTATGTCTACTTTTTCCATATTCACAGTGTAGACTGCATTAATATTAGAAATGGGCTGACACAAAACTTTCACTGTGATAGTCCCAAAGGTATGTGAACAGTATCTTTTGGTTTGAATTTAATGTCATACCCACCATTTTCAGTGGAGATAAACTAAAATATTGACCTTTGTGGAACTTGGGTTCAGAGATGATTCTTTTTTATTCAGTACCATCAATTATCACATCACATTTATAAAGATTGCTCAGGCACTTGACTGTCCCTGCTGTAGTGCACACCAGTGAGGCTGTGCCTTGAGTGCTGTGCCTGGTTTTGGAGCCCTTATGGCAAGAAAGATCTTGAGGGGCTGGAGAAAGTCCAGAGAAGGGCAGTGGAGCTGGGGAAGGGTCCAGAGCACAGGTCCTGAGAGGAGCAGCTGAGGGAGCTGGGCTTGTTTAGCCTGGAGAAAAAGAAGATGAGGAGGCACATTACTGGTCTCTGCAACTACCTGACAGGAGGGCATAGGCAGGTGGGGGCTGGCCAGTTGCATGTAAGAAGCAACAAAGGGAAATGGCCTCAAGTTGCACCTGAGGAGCTTTAGATTAGGTGTTAGAAAAAAGTTTCTTCATAGAAAGGAAGAAAAAGTTGTAACAGAGAACAAGCTGCACAGCAAGCTGGTGGAATCACAATCCCTGAACTGCTTTAGAACTGCTAAAAAGCATGTGGATGTGGCACCTGTGAATATGGTTGTGGTGCTAGGCTGATGGTAGGACTTAATGACTGTTATTCTTTTCTGACCTTAGCAATTCTATGATTCTATGAATAAAATAATTTTAAACGATATCTTTGTGAACCTTATTGCATATTTACAAAATATAAGCAGAGAGATCATCAATAACACATCTTCACTTAAAAAGTTTGTTTCTTTCTTTGAACCTTATTTCAGATGCATACTCGTATATGGAAGAAAATTTACACTCTCTATTTTCGAAACAAGTATTATCAAAATACTATGGCATGAGAAATTGTTTATCCTTTTATGCAGATTTTTGGACAATATATCTTTTGTTTTAATGCCTTCCTACTTTTGAGCTTAACTTGGTCCAGGAAGAGAAGTGTTAGCAAGACTACCCTATGCAAAGCTACTTTAATGATATCTCTAGCCTTTGATGAAATGAGACAAATTTTAAAAAACATTACTTTGATTAACATTAGAAACAACCTTTTAAGCCATCTGGGTGTCACCTAAGAAGTATAAGAAATATAGTACATTCAATTTTTAAAAGTTCATATGAAGGTTTTCTTTGGTTTCATACATTTCACCTGAAATTGCAGTACCCTCTCCAAGTTTTTGGGGGCAGGGGAGAAGTTTGAGCAAACCTGTGCCTATCAGAATTTTTCCAGGAATTCATTTTACATACTTTCATTTTAGCATAAAAATTACTCTAAGGTATTTGAAAGAAAATACTACCACATAAAATTCAAATTCATAAATTTTAATGAGAAATTGTTTTTATTTCAAAACAAGGGATGTGTAAAGTATAACTATAAATTTAAGAATGCTACTCATCCAGTCAAGAATATGAAGAAATCTGTGCAAGTAATGCATCCAAAAGCTCAAATACATTAAAACACCTCTGGTTCTACATGTCAACTCCACAGCATATATTCTGAACCATTTACAAGATAATAATTGCTTACAGAAGAGTCTCTACAAATAACTTAGGAGAACAGATGCTCAATCTTTTGCTAAAAAATTTTTGTAAAGGTTTTAGCTGAACTGAGAAAAACTTACTGGTCAAAAAATATATGTCAATTTTCAGTGAATGCAAGCAATAACATTGCTTGCCATGTTTCACATTAAAATATGAAAATGAGTTTTGGTACAGGACCATAAATCATTCGTAACTCATCTGAAAGGATGTGTAGGCTTACGAACTTTCCAGGTCCTTCTAATGAAACTGGCTGAATTCCAAAATTATAAGCACACACATATCTATGTTTATTTTGGTTTATTCTGTAATCACATCCTTCCTTTAAGAGATCAAATGATCTATGTTGAATCATGTCCTTGAAGCTGCACCATTTAGAAGCAAGAGAAAAATTCAAGTGTCTCATCTGTAGATTACCTGACTCTTTTGAAGTCAAGGGAAACCTTTTGCATGGCAAATTCATTTGCAAAAAGTGCCTACGTCTGTGTTATTATGTCAATATGGTAACAGAGTTTAACTTTTTCATACTTTGAAT